CCTTAGGAGTCCGTGCCCACTCCACGAGAAGTGTTGCATCTTCTGGGGTCCTACCAAATGGCACCTCTCCAACAGGCATCTGTAAAGCAGCAGGCTGGGCAACACCCAATACTTTCACAAGATTTTATAATCCCCAGGTTGAGCCAGTTGTTCCCTGTGTGCTAATTGGTACGAACAGGTAAGTTACGGAGAACGGGCCAGGTGTATCACTTGGACAGAGCACCTTTCCCCTCCCTGAGATGATAACTTGTGCTTTTTTGTCCACGTTCCTGTTCCCTGGACTGAGAAACCCTAAATTACTTTTCCCTCAGCACACTGCAGCAGTCGAATTCAGTGGAGAAAATATGACGTCAGGCCCAGTACTCGTGATGCATGCCCTTTCAGGTCAGCCCGTATATTTGGGCTGGGTTCTCCATAATTATTCCATGATGGTAATCCCCTAGGATGTATTGTCCATGATATGGTTTCTCTAACGGTAAACACGTGTCTTCACATAGGTAGAACTCAGTCTCTGTCGTCAGTCACTGCATTTGTAGTGGTTCCTCCCTTTTCATCTAGGATCTACCGCAGGGACTTCTTTCCATGTGTTGTACTTCCTGGTTGGTAAGTCTATGTGACGTATTCCACATATTAACCTCCCTTAAGGCCGGATGTGGTCATCGTAGTTTCTCTAGGAGAAAGAGTGCTTCCCGAGCACTAATTCTGATCTGCACAGCTGTGAGCCATTCACGAGTTCACACTTACAAATAAGTCGGATAGAATAAATGGTATGCATATTTGGAGAGCTGTCTGAGGACAGGGCTCTGGGCTCGGTATTCAGCCTGAACCCAGAGTACTCCTCCCGTATTCCTGGCTGTGGAAGGAACAACTGGGGGGCGGTCATCAGCACCGCCAATACCTCATAACAAGTTTAAGCTGTTATGGCAAAGTGACTTGACAGATAGGGAACTGTTACTGTTGTAACCAGGACTACCAGGCCACAAAGAAACATTTTTGTTGTAATCTTTTCTAGCTGATGAACAATAGAAACTTTGTTTCATCGTGAGCCAATCAGAATCCACCTGAGCTTGAACATTTAAAGCAACAGACAATATACAGTACCTGCAGTGTGCACTTTTAATAAACAGAAAATGTTGCATTGGTGTGGACACTAATATTATTATCTTAATTGTCTTAATTATCGTTCTTGGTGTGAACAGACCTAAATCCAAGCTACTTCTTTTATGACGCTTTTTCACATTTTTGGATTTTGAAAGTCCCTGATCACCTTTCACTTTCATTGTATGGGAAAGAGAAATGTGAACATGTTGCTAAACTTCTCCTTGTGTGTTCCACAGAAGTAAGTCAGTCAAACAGGTTTGGAGAAACATGAGGGTGAGTAATTTTTTTTTTTATAGTAACTTTTTCACTTTTTACTGTGTATTAGTAACTATCAATAATTTAAAATCAATGATGCATGCATTGGCCATACAGTATGACAGAACAGGTCTCAGATTGCACTCCTCCATCATATCTATCAAAACAAGGAATCCTTGATGGTGGGGTATGATTGGTTGACTTGATTAAGTCTGTCCCCCCTCAAATTGGGGGACGAGCCATGATAGATGAGACAGAGCAGCCTCTAAATGTGCTTTGTCAATCATGCTGATGTCTAACAAGGAGCCAATTACCACGTTCAGCCCCCGGCACGGGGCAGGATGTGATTAATAAGACATTACTGCATAGCCGTCAGCATCATGAGTTTCATAAAAAATGTCAGTAATAGGACTGAAATAGTGGCTGCTCTAAAGCGCAAGAACAGGCGATAAGTTAAAGGAGGCAGGCATGGATAGAGGGATAGATAAGGTGCGGTCCGATATCACACAAGTGTTTTATCACACTCCTAATCCAGATAAAGCTTCAGACTCCCAGTCCTGTGATTGGGTTACAGTAGAGATGGGAGAGACTTTTTTCCATGCACTTAACACTAGGAATTTGAGAAGTGTGAGCTTATCAGGCTTGCATTAGAGAGAAAACTAATACATTGGAGGCTGATAAGAGAGGAACGAGAGCTTCCTGGAATTTTCTAGAGATGAATGGAGACCGTGGAAGTGCCAGCTCATCATAAATAAACGGAGGGTTTTTCCAAAATCAGTCAGAGTTGGCATCCTCACGAACTATGTATTGAGATATATTCAAAAAAAAACATCCTATCTCTCTGCCTTGATATCATTATAAATAGCGATGTAATATATATCGGTACCATAATGGTTATTGGCCGATGCTAATTTTATATCAGCAGTATTCAGCAGCGAATATCCGTCTTTCCTAATTTTAGTTATATTGTTGTGGTGACTAAATTCACTTTTAAGCATCAGCATTTAAGACCATCATACTGATGATGATGATGAAACCTAAAGTTCCAAACTCATTCTTCCCTGAAATAGAAAAGGAGAAATTAGAAGCTCCCTTGAGGGAAATATTATCAGTGAATAACTACTGCAAATTCATACAGGTCATGAGTTGTATGAACCACTTTTATGATAGGTTTACGGTTTTGTCTCTGTTTTTTTGTAAGTTATGAAAGCTTCAGTCCCAATTAATTGTAATTTCAGAATCTTTTTTTTTGTTCAGATAATTTTTGAGAACTCAAAACATCTCCCTTTGTGTTTCACAGTGGTGGTTGAAATGACTTAAGGTTGAACAAATTATATATTTTTATATTATTGTTATATAATATTTTCATGTTAATTATATATGTTGGGTGAACTGTTCCCTTAATACTATTTGAAATAATCTCTTCTGTATTTTTTTTTTTTTTTTTTTTTTTAACGTCTGGATTCCAACAGCAGGAAAATAATGTTGCTATGAAAAAAGGACCATGAATGATTTACCAGTGTCCCATATGTCCAAGAAAAAAGTGTAGTGGTGGCTTGGGTATTTTTTCATTCCTCCTTTTTTTTTTTTTTCAGAACCTCTGAAAACACCACCCGGTGTCCACTTGTATTTTACTCCCCAGGCAACTGAAGCATACCAAAGTATTTTTAAGTCAGTCGACGCTCATAGCACATGGCTCGCATTGGTTACAGACTCTCAGGTACCCTGTAAAATCACTGTGGATACTTCTATTTACTCAGTGGTCTTACCACTATCCTTGTTGTCCCTCATAGTGTCAATCCTGCTGACATGCCTTGATCATTCCTGCTTTTTCCCTTAACCCCCTATTCGCTGTTCTCTTGCTCTCAGACACATATTACCACATGCTTACATGTTAGCCTTGTGTGCAATGGGACAGGAGCTGTTCGGGTGCTGAAATTGAAACAAGCCCTAACAACTTAGCACCTTGCGGTCTTTTTTTAGGTTGTGAAGCTTTGTTTTCTGTCAGTTTCTGAACTGACAGATAGGCATCTGCTCTAGTGTTAATGTAATGCCAGTAAGAGAATACTGGTGAATAATTATCTACACTCTTAAGAAAGTTTCATAGCAAGACCCATTTTGGGTTCAGAAAAGAACCTTTCAGTGATTAGTAACCTTTTTTTTCTTTTTGTGAACATTTTAATAATCTAAAGAGACATTTTCCACTACAAAGAACAATTTGTGCATTGGAAAGGTTCCATAAATGTTTTTCATGGAACCATAGATGCATGCAAAATACAGGACCTTTATTTTACGAGTGTACATTTCAAATTTAGATAAAAAAACAAACCAAAAAACTTCTAAGCTTTAGAGGAAAGCTTCACACATCAAAAGTGCTTGGCATGTTCTTCTAGACCTGTAGGAATCAACCTTTCCACGATTAATGCCAATCAGCCTGTCGCTTGCTTCACATCGTCACCACATACCAGAGGAACATACATAATTAACTACCTCTTTCCCGAAAGGTTTGCATGCTCTGACACACACACTAAGTGACATGTGGTCTTGAGTGCTACTCGCATTCCCGTACTGATGTATACCGCCACACCACTGAGATCAACACAGAGTCACGTCCTTCCAGTTTACTTAATTAAAGTAACATATCTGTGTTGAGCTCCAATTAAGATTGAAACAAATGCCAATGAATGAATAATCATTAAGGGAACAAAATTTGCATTGACTTTAAAATCCATTTTTCAAATATTTTTTAATTTAATTAAAACATCCTATAAGGTTTAGACATTCATGATTAATGGCCAGTTACTTTTATTATTAAAAAGTAAAGGTTTTCAGTGGTGCTTTGAAAGGCTGTAAAGATCCTTCTCATTTCAGCTGTAGGGTTCTTGAGTGTCTACTGCGTGGTTCTTTAAATTTTCTTTTAAATTAGTATTTAAGGATTTAATCTTGTCATTAGGGTTCTTAAGTTTAGTGGTATAGTTTCTGGGTTATTAAAAGCACCTGTAGGCTACATATAGCTTTTTCTAAATATCTACAGAATAAAAAGGGCTTTTTTCGAACTCAAAATATTGGTGCGTCAAACATTAAATGCCTTTTTGACACGTACAAGAAAAAGTGCAACAGGCGAGGCTTATAAAAAAATAGTCTTTAACAAAAAAAAAGAAAAGAAAAAGACCTAGACAAAACACCTTTATTCGGAGACAAAACATTGTTGATCTTCTATGTCTTAACCAATGTCGCACCTGGAACGCTCGTGCGCATGAGGCGTGGAAAGGTAATGGAATATGAGCTCAAGTTAAGAATTACAAATTGAAAATGCGATATGCATTCCTTTAAATATAGAAGCAAATATCATCAGTATAAATGTAAGAATGGATGAACTGTGCAGTTTAGTTTGACATTTTGATAAATCCGTTCAGCTATCGATTATTGGACAATTAGAGGTGTAGCTACGTCAGAAATAAAATAACTATTTACACAGGAAAAAAGAACCTGAACGATCTGTTTCACATGGTAGCATAGGAAATTACGCAACAGTAAGTTTTTATACCTGCCTCAATTGAAAATGAAGATAGAAAATGCCTACACATAGATGATGATTGGACTCTTTTGGTTCATGCAACATGCGAACGACAAAAATAACCCACCTTGACAGTTTTCCAGACAGAAAACATCAAATGAATGAATCCGGTCTTTACTGATCAGATCATGTCCCAGAGATTTTACTCCACAGCAGTTGACTAAATGCGATGTACAGGTTCTCCTACACGTCTGTCAACTGTTCATCGGAAAGCTGAACATACTTTACAGATATGAAGTCCCGCCTTTTCAATAAAAAGTCATTGTAATTTATACTCAGCCCGTGAAATGCGAGTCAATACGGCCAAAACTCCAGTTAGATTTAGCTGCTGTCAGCGCTTAGTACCTACCCTGTCCGGGAGAGAACAACTGACCTGCTGAAAGCGATCATCTCCAAATGTAAGTTTAAGGGAATGAAGCGTATTCAAGCCGCGCACTTAAGCTCTCCGCAGGGTCCTAAAGTGCCCGCAGCCGCGAGAACATTTGGACATCTGCTTAAACAGGTTAAACTGCAAGATGCCTGTACTGTATAGCCTACTCTCAGGACTACCTATCCGGGTTAACATTTTGTCCAATATGGGACGACCTTTAAGTTCAATAGGCTCTATTAAGAAATATAACCAGATGTTGATTTTGCTAAACATAGCCTATTCATTAGAATAGCCAGCCTGAAGAATGTCAATAGTCATTAATTTGATAAATAGCAAATATAAAAGCGCTAATACAATGAAAAGGTGACATTCTATTTCAAACCTGCAACCACGTGAAGTCGCTAAAAGCAGACATTTTTTTTTAAAAGTAATTGACGGTTACTGATCTTTCACACAAATAACTAAATAAAATAATGTATTAATGTTGTTTTCCGCTGACCTCTAGGACTGATGATGAACCTCTTTCCTCAGAACACGTTCAGATCACGCGTATGTTGAATGAGCAGCAGTGACACTTCCACACGAGCATGTACATCAACAGCTTCTGTAGTCTGTATCTTTACTTACAGATTGGTTTGCTTTTAGAGCAAATTACCTCAAAGTAAAGTTAAAACATTTCTACAGTGAAACAAGATTTTAAACCATTGGTTTGTACAACCATACAATGTTGTAGGCCACAACAGTTCAAATTATGCATGTTCTCTTTGCAGATTTTTTGATCATATCATACAGCCACACAAAGAAAATGATTTTTCCCCCCCTTATGCTATGAATATAGTAAATGAGAACTGGGGTTGCCGGCTCCAAAAACGACAACATGTTCCACACCAGTGCAGTAGGCTATTCCAAGTCTCTCTGAAGCCATACTGTATGCTAGCTTTATGCACTGTATGCACTCACATTCAAATTTATCTCAAATTATTGTGCCTATCATAAGCAAGGCAGATTTGAATGTGCTAGATTTGAAAGCTGTCACATGGCATCAGAAAACTTGGAATATAGTGAATGAATCATAATGGATTTTTATGGTATGTTTTGTCCTTTTTGGTGCAGGACAGCCTCAGTTCCTATTCACATTTGTTGCATTGAAATTCTCTCTTCATGCTCTTCATATCCTAGAGTAAATCCTGGTTAGGTTTAGGGTTGCAATTAACCTTGTAAAAAATGCATTGCTAGAACATGAACTGTCTGAATTTGATTAATTTGAAAATGTATTGATTTTCCTCAACTAGGAAATTGTACTCATACTGCATCATATGATTTTGCCATGTTTAACAACAAATCATTAGAAGTTTAACATGAGATGACATGAAAGGTTGGATTTGTAAATTTCCACTTTCAGGGTGTGGACAGTTAGCACATGATAAAGAGTGAGCTGAATTGCAAAGGTTAAAGGGATAGTCCCCCAACACCCCCCCCCCCCCCCCCCCCAAAAAAAAAAACACCTTGATGCAAAACTGTATGAGATTATTTCTTCTGAGGAACATAAAATAATATATTTTGAGAAATGTCTTAGAGGTTTTTGTCCATATAATGTTAACCCAAACATTTTGGTTCTTCAAAATATATTCTTCAAAATAGCTTCTTTTGTGTTTAAAGAAAGTCATACAGGCTTGGAACAACATGAGCAATGCCAGAATTCTTTATTTCTGGGCGAACTATACCTTTATAGTGTTTCCGTGACATCAATAATTTCCTATTTAGATTTCGTCAATATGGTGCTATGATTTGGTACATGGGTAAAAGTGTTTGTGTGTGTATAAAAGAGAATGAGAGAGATTGAAACAACTGTGGTGCGGCTTGTTTAAATGTGTACATTTAAAAGAACAGGTTCTAGTCTAAATGGAGAATGATTGTAAATGATTTATCATTGAAATACAAACGACTTTAAAATCATGTCTTTGCTGATAGAGATCCAGTGTGTTTGTGATCTCGCATGTGACTCAACAAGCACTCATTGTTATTGATTACCTAAGCCATTTATATGCAACAAAGCCCTATAAACCCATTAAAAAGTTGCAAGGCAATTTCCATTCTGATGAAGAGGATTTTGCAGCAGCCAAGTCCTGAATAGCTATTAACATTTGAGTGAAGCAGTGAGCGTCAGAAGGTGCATCCTTTGCTTGCAGTCAGCGTTGTGCTGTACTTGACATTTCTATTAAATCTTTGATCATTGAATCAGCATAACCACTAGCTACCAGCCAACCACATGAGCTCACACCCTGAATTTGTGTGGTTTGCTTCGATTGGATCAATAATGGGATCTATGGATTCTGCCAGTGTCCGTGTTTTGCTGCTAACTGTCTATATTTTCTGATAGCCGAGTCTCTTTTGATTTATTCCAACTGGATTACCTTATAGCCTACTAAGCAGAAAGTTTGAAGCTGTTTGGTTGATTTGTGTCGTTGTTTTGTTGACTTCTGCATGCATCACTTACCATAATTCCCTGTTTTTTGGCCTGACACCTGTTATGAGGGACTGGAAAGTTTTGAATCCTTGTTTGGCTTCAAAGAGGAACGCACCTGCCATGGCTTTTATCAGTTACAACCTCCCACACAATGTAAGCAACACAGAGTGCAGTTGAGACATCTGGGAGCTGTATTGTTCTTGTTGCTTCATGATGAGTAAGACCTGAAAACTTCATGAAAACACATCATCGTATCAAACAATGCTGAAACACTACTGGGCCACTGGTCCCTTCCCCTAGCAACTGTCTTTATTTTTGTGACTTGTGCTGTCAGTTATATTATGTAGTAGTATAGTACTGTAGATAAGGATTCCTCGTGTGTCCTTAGTAGGGCACTCGAGGGATGTGCTCTGATTATTTTCTCCCTTTTGAGGGGTTAAAAACCAGGGTCCAAAACCCATATATAACACATGGTTTTAGTCAAACTGGGCAAATGATAGTCTCTCACAAACAGTCATTTTAGTATTTATATACTGTTATAGTTTTTAATAATATTTTGTATTAAAATTTTGGGCAATTTTTGTTGTGCTTTTGTCATTTTTATTAGTTTTTGTTTTTAAAAATGTATTTATATATAATATGTGACCCTGGACCACAAAACCAGTCACATGGGTCAATTTTTTTAAATTGAGATTTCTTCATCTGAATAAGCTGAATAAATAAGCTTTCCATTGATGTATGGTTTGTTAGGATAGGACAATATTTGGCCGAGATACAACTAATTGAAAATCTGGAATCTGGGTGCAAAAAAAAATCTATTTATGTTCGGAATTGTGCTGCATTTACTCACAATAATAAATGTTATATATATATTTATGGTTGAAAATTTACTAAATATCTTCATGGAACATGATCTTTACTTAATATCCAAATGATTTTTGGCATAAAAGAAAAATCGATAATTTTGACCCATGCAATGTATTGTATAAATATACCCGTGCTACTTGTGAAGGGTTTTGTGATCCAGGGTCACATATATACTATATTTCTAAATTGTTTTATTTTGTTTTAATTTCAGGTTTAGTTTTCTCAGTTAGTAATTTTAGTACTAACAACATTTCTCATTGTCGTTTCAGCTGTGAAACTGAGATTGAGTCATTAATATGCAAAGTAAAGAATTTAATGCCACTTTATGTATATATGGCTGCTGAATTGTCTAAATTCACTCCTCATTGGCAGGTGCAGCATAATAATTTGGATTTTTAAATGTTATATAATTAAGAGAAGGGATATAAGGATTGTGAGCTGTCTGACTCTGGCTGGTGAAGAGCAGGCATCATGCCCATCTCTTAGGCACCTGAGCCATATTGCCTGCTATGATGGATGGCATCTTTTATTTTGACGAGCAGAACATTTTAGCACTCACATTCCTCTAGATCCTTTCATTAGGGACTTTTTTGTATGGCTGCTTTATACCTCATGGCAGCTCAAGCTCAACTTTAGTTTCATTAGATCTTAAATTCTTCTTCCACTTTTCACATGGCTTCTAGCAAACTTAAGCCGTAACATAAGGTCAGGCTTTTTCAGAAGCTTCCTTACAGCCATTTTCTCACAAAGGCAAAATCTGTGAGGAGTGCATCCATTTAGCTACATTCGGCTTGCTAGAAGAAAGTTTCAGAGATGTGCCAGTTCTTAATTCAGAGATGTGCCTTTTTCTTGCTTTTTTTTCTCATGACCGCAGGAGTGATCTGATATTTTTTTATTTCTGAGATCTCTCAAACTGACATTATTGTTCAATCAAGAGACTGAAAACACATGCTTCAAAACATAGCAGAGTGAAGAATAATCAGTGCAGGATAAATATTTCTGAAGAAACAATAAAAACAGCTACATTCTCATAGTTCAAAAATGCCTTTTTATTTTTATGTTCACTGTGATACCAAAGCAGAAAGTAACCAGAGAACTGAAACGAGCAATTTGTTCTTCGAAGTGAACGTATCTCACTCAGACTCCGCAGCACTCATCATTTAAATCCCATGGACAATTGACCTTGAATTGGCATTACTATAAAATAACCACAGTACTTGAGACAATACAAGCATTATAATAGGTAGAATTAAGTAGATGTCACCAGCGTAAATAATGAATGAAGACGCCACAGGGGAGGGCTAATTGGAGAGTGCATTTGCTGAAAAACTGAGTTTTTGCCATGCCGCTCACAGAATAGAAATTCATCAAGCCAATTTATTTAAACAATGCCCATGAGAGTCGTGATTTGCTGGTTTCATCTATCAGTGCAAGTAATCTTTGTAGATGTGTATGTGATAATATAACCAAACGAATCAGTTTTCTGTAAAACATAAGTGAAAAGAAAGCAACTATATGTCATCTGTGCGAGATTGTAGAAAAATATCACTAGAAATGTTATTTGGCAAATTTATTTGTTTGTAATTCTTATAGCAATAGCCAATTGCCATTTTAGAGAACAATGTCATCAT